TCAGAAAGAGTTGAACATGAGGCAGAGGATTACAACTTGAAGTACGTGTTCACTCACAAACAGTTGAACTGATCAAGGATTACAACTTGATTATAGATTATCATCCAGGGAAGGCTAACGTGGTAGCCGATGCTCTTAGCAGGAAGAGTTCATCGGGGGTGTTACTCTCATGCTTGCAAGCATTGAGGGCACGCGTGGAGATATCCACGAATGGGGCTCTATTGGCCAGATTTGAGGTGAGACCCACCTTATTAGATGAAATCAGGACGCGTCAAGGCAATGACGAGGAAATTCAGAAAATCCGGGAACGGATGCTGGTGGGACCCGTCGAGGGTTTCCGTGAGAGAGAAGATGGACTCCTACTATTCAAGGAGCGGGTGTGTGTGCCGTCAGATGAGGAGCTCCGGAAATCTATTCTTGAGGAGGCTCACTCATCTGCGTATGCCATGCACCCAGGTAGAACAAAGATGTACCGGGACTTGAAAGAAAGTTACTGGTGGTCGGGGATGAAGAGAGAGATTGCAGAATATGTGAGCCGTTGCCTTACCTGTCAGCAGGTTAAGGCAGAGCACCAGCACCCGGCAGGGTTATTACAGCCACTTACCATCCCAGAATGGAAGTGGGAGCATGTTACTATGGACTTCGTGGTAGGTTTGCCACGGACGGTTAGGAACTTTGATGCGGTATGGGTGGTGGTTGATAGGTTGACCAAGAGTGCCCATTTCCTACCTATCAACACTACTTATACGCTTGAGCGACTGGCCAAGTTGTATACAGATGAGATCGTGAGACTGCATGGGGTTCCGGTCACTATAGTGTCGGATAGAGACCCACGGTTCACGTCACGGTTTTGGCCTAAGTTCCAGGAATCCATGGGAACGAAGTTGAGGTTCAGCACGGCATTCCACCCTCAAACGGATGGGCAGTCTGAACGGGTGATTCAGATTTTGGAGGACATGTTGAGGGCATGTGCCTTAGAGTTCCAAGGAAGTTGGGACAACCAGTTGGCTTTGGTGGAATTTGCTTATAACAACAGTTATCAAGCAAGTATAGGCATGCCTCCATACGAGGCATTGTATGGGAGGAAATGTCGGACACCTTTGTGTTGGGATGAGGTAGGCGAGGCTAAGCTTGAGGGCATCGAGCTAGTCGAAATCACCAAGGAGAAGGTGAGGGTTATTCAGGATAGACTCAAGGCTGCCCAAGATCGGCAGAAGAGCTATGCAGATAAACGACGAAGGACGTTAGAGTTCGAGGTCGGCGATGAGGTATTTTTGAGGGTGTCACCTTGGAAAGGGATCATCAGGTTCCTCAGTCGGGGTAAGCTTAACCCACGCTACATAGGCCCATTCAAAATCATTGAAAGAATTGGGGTTGTAGCGTACCGACTTCAGTTAACTCCGGAATTAGAAAAGATTCAAAATGTATTTCATGTTTCTATGCTCAAGAAGTATGTACGGGACCCGTCACATATTCTTGAGAAACCACCGGTAGAAATCCGGGAAGACCTTCACTATGCGGTGCAGCCGGTAAAGATCATGGACCGACAGGTAAAGAAGCTAAGGAGTAAAGAGGTACCGATGGTGAAGGTGCTTTGGAAAAGTGATCGTGTCGAGGAGCAAACTTGGGAAGTGGAGACCCTGATGAGGGAACAATATCCATTTCTGTTTGACTAGACACGTGGATTTCGGGGACGAAATCCCAAATAAGGGGGGTAGAACTTGTAACACCGCCCCCAAGTATTTGTACTTTATCAAATTAAGTATTGAACCCGAGAAATGAATAAACGCATTTTACGTGATTGTGAATTTTTATCATTTCTTTTACGTGAATAGTAAAATTCACGTGGGGCCCACACCGGAGGTGGGGGCCGTCCGATATTGCCGGGACCACATATTATATTCGTTTGGGTCAAGATAATATGTGTATAATGGTGGATGTCCTTGTTGGGCCATAGAACCTTTGTGAGCAACCAGTTGTGCATGTGAAGCCCATTTATCGGTACCGAGGTAATATCAGATAAAAAGCCATAATAAATTATGGAGACCATCAAATTAAAAGTTGGGAATATACGTTCATTCTTATAGCCAATATTAATTGGAAGAGTGATAGATATTTCATTTTACCCGATAAAATGAAATATAGTTAAAACAGTCCGGAAAATACAACTTTCGGGACCAAGTGTACACTTGGGGACACAAAGGGATGACCACCCATCTAAGTGGGGGACATCCCCACGTTTTTAGTCTACAAATGACAAGGGGGAGCCGCACAAGGAAATGGGAGAGGGGGCATGAATGGATTGGGATCAAAATAATAAAATAAATGGGACCCCTCCCATGTTATTATTGGAAGAAATGCCAAAAAGGCATTCTCTATCATCCTCACTCATTGAAGCTCGGCCATACCATCATCTTTGGGAAGAGAAGCTCTGAAAATACTCCATAGCATCCACCATTCACGCACCAAGAGCAAGGGAGGAAGAAGGAAGGAAGAAAGGGAAGAGAAAAGAGGAGTTTAGGTGGGAAAACTTGGGGTTAATAAGGTAATGACTTCATTAATCCCATTTCTTCTCTTTAATCATATTTCATACTCCTAGGATAGTTCTACACATGTAAAAGTGTAGAATAGGAGTGGGAGGGTTGGTTTATACCCAAGACGGACTTTGAGAGCAAAGTTGTCGGGTTCATCGGAAAATAACCTTTTGGAGGTTATTTGTATTGATATGGGTTTTATGATGATAAAACCTTGTTAATAACTTGTATAAGGTGTTTCAAGAAATTTCACGGAGTTGAAAGGGTCGCCGGAGTTGTCGCCGGAGTTCATTGAAGTTCACCGGAGTTTCACCGGAGCTCAATCGGGAAGGGCTAGAACTCCATAAGCTTCATTAAGGTGAGAAGACGGCTATATGCTTTATAACTTTTGATTGAGGCATGAGATTACCTAAAGTAATCAAGAATATGTTTTATGGAATGATTAAAGTTAATCAAGTATTGGCTTATGCCATGATTATATACAAAACATAGTTGAAAAGCATGTTTTGTATGTTTGGTGATTAAAAAGGTGATAACTTATTATGTACAATGCTCCAGGGATCCAAAATGGTATTTTTGGATCAAGGACGACAAGGAGTACATGCGTATAAAATTTCGCGTTAATCGGACTTCGTTTGGGCGGTCAAACGGGCGTTGACCGCCGAGACAAAGGTGATACCCGACCGGGTATTGGTATATACCCGACCGGGTATTGGTTAGAAATGGCTCCAGAAGCCACTGTCTTACTAGACCCGACCGGGTAAGGGTATGGACCCGACCGGGTCTCAGGTAAGATCAGTTCCAGGGGCTTCTGCCCCGACCAACCCGACCGGGTAAGGTTGGATACCCGACCGGGTATTGGACTAGGCCCAAAACAGGCAGTTTTGAGCAGGTTAACGTGGGTCGTTCAAGTGGGACCCGCCCACGTTGGTTACTAGGGATTATTATATGACTATAGGACTAGGTATTGTCCATAGTTAAGTGAATGGAAGGTTAGCCATATCCAGGTTAGGGTTTGGTTAGAAATAAGATTGAGGTTGAGTATCCTCGGGACGGTAAACGATCCCAAAACTCGGTGAGGTTGAGTATCCTCAGGACGGTAAACAAATCCTAAAACTCGGTGAGGTTGAGTATCCTCAGGACGGTAAACAATCCTAAAACTCGGTGAGGTTGAGTATCCTCAGGACGGTAAACAATCCTAAAACTCGGTTGAGGTTGAGCATCCTCGGGACGGCAAATGATCCCAAAACTCGGTGGGGTTGAGTATCCCCGGGGGGGTAAACACTCCTGAAACTCGGTAGGATATTATGAAGGTAGAATGTAGCTCGTGAGCTAGGCATTCGGGAATGAATGGGAAAGGTTGGGTAATCGCCTTACCTCTAAAAGACTCTTTGTGATAAAACGACACACGGGTCAAGTATTTTACAAGAATATACGGTATGTATTATCTTGGGAATGGGGTAACGATGGTTATACCTATAAATATATGTATCATCCTATTTTTGGGTCTCGTGTCTGAAACATTAGTTATTCCTCATATAGCCTGCTTGTCACTAGTACTTTCTATGGAGTACTGACCCCTTCGGGGGCCCTCACATTTTTCAGGTTAAGGCTTGAGACCTATTCCTGCACCTTTGCCTAGGGTGATCATCAAATAAGGAAGACGTGGTTCGTGCTTCCATTCTTATTTGAAATTATGAAATTGCTCATGGATATTTGAACGATGTTTCTATTAAACTATTGAAGGGCCTGCGTGCTCATGTTTGCCACGTGTGGCTAAATGTCAAACATATTTTATTTCCGCATTTGATTGACTAATGTATATTGATGTTGATTGTATGGGTTTACTAATCGGTTTGGCAATAGAATCTATCGGACGCCTTGTATAATTTAATAAGAATGAACTACGTTGTTCTTATTGGGTTGTACGGCGGTTGTCTACGTGGCACGGATGCGGTCCGGGGCGTGACAGTAACTTCAGCCAATACAGCCAGAAAAGTAACTTCAACCTTAGTTTTTCTACTTATTACACAATTCAGCACGTCAAATAAAAAATTACGTGTTTGGTGAAAAAGCTGGCTGATAAGCCTGATAAGCCGAAAAATGGGGTCACCAAACGGAGTATTTGTGATTACACGTGTACTGATTTTTTTATTTCAATCTCAGTATTTAGAAAATTTTTAATATTAATATGCAACTGATCTTAATTGCTATTAAGATAGTTGAGCATCACACACACGAGGGTACTCATTTGGCAACTACTAGGCGGGTTATTGTTCCCCTCCACTACTGGGAACAAAATAAAATTGTACTTTTTAGAGTTGTTGCAGGGACCACTCGGTGATGCACGATGGTGGAGTTGGGGCTCAGCAGTATTAGGATACTTGTATCACAACATGTGCAAGGCCGCCAAAGCTGACAGAAAAAATATTGGGGGATGCTTGCTTCTATTACAGATTTGGGCATGGGAGAGATTGCCCATGGTGCGGCCGCGAAACGCTTTGCCATTTGAGAATCTACAGGATAAGCCATATGGCTGCAGGTATAATTTAAAAATTTACATAATAAATATTAGTATATCAAAAATATCTGTAGTTCACAGTATAATAACTTATTTTTATGAAGGTGGGCGTGTAGGCACAATTGGGAACAAAGTTCTCGGTATACCCTGCGTCTTTATCGAGATCAGTTGGACGGGATACGAGAGAACGAGGTTATAATTAACAATATCATTTCAGTTTATTAAAAAATTAATATGTATTTAAATTAACTTCAAATAATATTGATCCAGTTCGTGTGGCTCCCATATGCATTACAAGCCCTCCCCTGGTTCTGCGTCGCGGGAATACAAATGTGGACATCTAATGTCATGCTTATATTCTGTGACATTTCTGAGATGTACTACCCCGGTAGATTTTGTCGTCAATTCCGTGCAATGCAACATGTTCCTCCCGTGGCGGAATCTCAAGCTAGACACCATGCAAGTGGTGCAAAAAATTCTGGATGGCCATTGACACTATGGGAGGAAAGGCACACCGCTCGTCGTCATACCGCAATTGAGTTCGTTGATGAACCCACATACACTCCTGCGTACCGTGAATGGTACAAAGATGTCGGGAAACGACGGATTTGCAATCCGTTACATGGTCGACCTACAACAGGTTATGCACCTACTAATAGGGAGACGAGTACTTTGGTAAGTATTTTATGTGTATTTATTCTTCTATTACAAATATTTATTGTCATTTAATAACTTTACTTTGGAATTGTAGATGCAATGTATGGGCGATATCTATCGACGCATGGCAGCTCCATTTGACGTCGAAGATATCCGCGAGCAAATTGCACGATGCCTTACGGGATTAGGTGCCGAAAACGTGCTTCATGAAGACATCATTTTGTTTGGGGATGCCCATGATGATGCAGTGGATGCTCATCCTCCACTTCGGCAAGACCTAAGAAAAGATGCGCCCACTCGAGGTCGGCGTTTCGGGCGCGGTTATGTCGATCCACACGTCGAAGAGAATGTGAATGATGATGATGATGATGGTGACAACGATAATCATGATGATGGTGACGACAATGATTATGAGGATGATGATGGTTATGATGATGATGATGAAGAGGATGCCGAAGATGGTGGCGAAGAAGGAGGACAACCATCGTCTTATGTTCATTCACATATCCCTTCCCCGACTTATAACAAAGTTGTGCAACTATTTGCCGACCGACGTAGGGCTGGTCAGATGTGGCGGCAAGCTGGGTTCCGGTATCCGCAAAATATATGGAAAGATATTCTTGAACATTCGCAGCAAAGGCATCGGTGCACTATTGTCCCGCATAACCTATCAACGGGAATATACTCTGTTTCCATTAGTGATTATCCGCCAGTAACCGTAAATCTCTCACGTTGCGAATGTGATTGCGGTTTTTGGAAGCAGAATGGATTCCCATGTGTTCACGCCTATGCGACATGTCATTTCTTAGAAATAACTGTTTATCATCTCATCCCGGACGTGTATAAATTAGGTGCCTACATCCGTACGTATGCTTCGGATATTATGCCTATGCATGACGTAAGTGCGATGCCGGATACCGGATATTTAGTGATACCGCCTCAAAGTGCTAGGCGCGGTCAAACCGGTAGACCTCAAAAGACCAGATTTACAAATGAAATGGATATGCGCCCGAGTAGGAGAGCACAAGAGTAAACATTTATATGTATTCTGTAACTCTTTTTAATGAATAAAAATTTGTATTCCTTTGTCATGTTGTTGTTATAGATGAAACGAGTAATGAAATATTTATATTATTTATTTTTGCTGGAACATTGAATAACTTCATAATACAATATCATTAAATATGTATATTCATTAATTAATACAATCACTAATCTAACAATTGATTATTTCTTATTTAATATATTAATACACATATTTCCAATTACAAATATCACTAAATTTATTCATTTTTAACACATTATCCCAATCAAAACACTTTATTATTTATCCCACGTAATATGAGAATTACCCAAAAAATAATACTTCATATACCCTATTTTCATATACCCTACGTAGTATTATTCATCCCACAACCCAATTTTCGAGCTCATTTGGTAGCACCAAAATCGGTTGTTTTGGCTGATTCTGCTGAAATTTATGAAGTTCTGGCAGGAGTGGCTGCTGCATTGGCTGATTCTGCTGATTTGAGAAAAAATTAATTTTAAAATATATTTTATTAATAAAATATAGAAAAAACTACGTGTAAAAATAGCTAAAATGGACATCTACAGTAAATTCAGCCAATACAACCAGAAAAGTAACTACAACCTTACCTTTTCTGCTTATTCCACAATTCAGTGTGCGAAAGCAAAAGTTACGTGTTTGATGAAAAAGCTGGCTGATAAGCCTGATAAGCCGAAAAATAGTGTTACCAAACAATGCACTTCTAAAAATTACTTTTTAAAATATAGAGTACAAAATAATGCACTTACTCCATATTATTATTTACCTACTCAACTCTACGTACATAGCCTATTCAATTTGAGATACCCCACTCAACTTAGTCAACCTACTCAACCTAAAAATAATTAAAACCAAATTTCGGATTCATAGAATCCGTTTTTTAACTTTTCCTAGGTCTCCCAACTATACCTAAAACTTTCGGATTAGAGAAACACGTTTCCCGTGTTTTCAGAAAACCTAAAAAAACTCCCGTATTTTGGACACTGATGCATTGCATTCCCCCTTTATGAGAAAACACCCATTTTGAGACTAATTTAACTAATTAGTCTTGGGGGCAGGGAATTCCTTTTAACTAGTATTATTCATAAATGCTAGAGTTCGCTATTGAGTATAACCATTTGTAAAAATGTCTCAATGAGATTTACAAAATGAGGCACACCATGTTATATTCTACATCCCCTGTATTAATCGTCTTGTAGTTATCTTACAAAACATAAGAGGTAGATGCTCGAACATATACAAAGTTCTTCTTTTGTGCTACAATTTTCTTCGAACAGTCTGAAAATTTTAGGTTGTTGAGTTACTGGCCGACTTGGTTTACAGTCTGAAAATTAAAACAATTAATGCTACGTACATACACCCACTAACACATATGCACCTAAAAGAAATTAAACTGGCCGACTTGGTTTACTTTTGCCGCAAATGCTTATTCTTTCAAAATTATCATGTATTCATGCAGGACTTATTTCTACCTATGTTGCGTGAAAATCGTAAATTCGCAGCCTGACTTTGTATTTGTTACTTCTCAAGGAAAATTGAAGGGTGAGTTACTTTAACATTATTGGAAGTATTTTCTTATTTCAGCTGCAATTGTTTGATTTTGTCACCTTAGTTTTGTGTCTTTTTAAGTTGCTTTGAATTCAGAAAGGTCTTATATTTGTCCAAATGATTCGTATGAAAAATTCATGTGCCATTATACCTACTTTTATTGAATTCTAATGTATCTTTTATTTTTCATAAATGTGCCCTGGATTTAATGGGACCGTATTGTTTTTGTTAAATCATTTTTTTAGTTCAGGCTGTAAGCTTGTTATTAGTACTACCATTACCTTCATATATGATACTTCGTACATTGGTAATAATGATTAAATAACAGGCTTTTGCATGTACATTATTACTATCTCTAATTACAATTTTGTTGGCATTAAATGTTTTTAAACTGCTTGAAAACGGATAGACTATTTTGGATACTTGATATGTAATTTTAGTAGTATTAATTTGATTAATTGTTATTACATCTGAAATCTTTAATTGGACTAATTTGGATACTTCTATTTTATTGGGGCTATGCAGGTACGTCTAATAACCATGCACAAACAAAATCTTAAACTGAAATCGGTTATGCCATTGGTTTTAAAATTAACTGATTCTAAAATTGATAAGATGAAATCTGTGCTATATTCCAATGCTGTTGGATCTGTCATATATCTTATGGTTAGTACTGGATCTGACATTGCTTATGATGTTTGTTAAGATCCGGGGTTCCATCCTAAAAGGTCAACCTGATAGGAGGAGTAGCCCGAAGCTTAATATAGCACTTTAGTGCTTCTCAATTTTCCGGTGTGGGACATTTAACACCCCTCCTCACGACCAGACACTTCGTCTGGATCGTGTCGTCATTCATTTTTTCATCGGTTCGTCAATTTTTTTTGTCGTGTCGTCATTTTTCATAAGGGGCCCCACACCATGGATCAACCTGGCTCTGATACCATGTTAAGATCCGGGGTTCCATCCTAAAAGGTCAACCTGATAGGAGGAGTAGCCCGAAGCTTAATATAGCACTTTAGTGCTTCTCAATTTTCCGGTGTGGGACATTTAACAATGTTAATTGTTTAAATCGTTACATGTCTAATCCGGGTATTGCCTCATTGAAATGCTTTAAAATGGTTGTTGTGATATCTGAAAGCTAATGTGAAACAGGATTTGATTTTTGCTAAATGTCTTGATGGTACTGTCTTAAATGGCTATGTGCATTCTAACCAACTATGCTAATGATAGATATAATACGAAGTCCACCACTTCTAATATTTTTGCTTTGTGTGGATCTTGCATTAATTGGAAATCTCAATTGCAACATATTGTTGCTATTTCCACTACAGAGTCTGAGTATGGTGCTACCATTGAAGCTTTTAGAAAGCTATTAGGCTTAAACGACTTATTATTAATGATTTTGGTTTTCTTAAGCAGGGCATTACTGTGTTATATGATAGTCAGTCTGTCATTCAACTTTGTAAAAATCTTGTGTTTCATGATTAGACAAAGCACATTAATGTTAGGCAAGAGATATTATACTGAAGAAGATTCCATCTAAGTCCAATCTTGTTGATATGGGGACCAAATGTCTCTCGATTGAGAAGTTGTTATATATCTCGTAGACGGACATTAAATCTATCTGGACTGTTGATATACGTTTTTTGTTTTGCGGGTTGCTGGCCTTAGGGGTTTTTGTTTTCCCTTAGGCCTTTCCCTGGGAACCCTATGTTCTCTGGGATGGTAGTGTGTCCATGAGATCATGTTTTTGATTTGGAGAATGTGTTACACATGTTTAACACATTCTCTAATTTGGTTTTGGTTCTTTGTGACCTAAGGAGTGCTTAATGCATCTTCAATTGTTTGCCTACTATATCCTTTTTTGGCAACTTGGCAACTTGGCGATGATGTGTCCCTTCATGCCACTGTTTTCTACTCTACACCACACATAGGACTAATAAGGTTGAGAATGTATGAGGTATAGGCAGTATATTGCACCAATAAGCTGGAGATTACCCCCTTACCTTGTTCGGCTTCCCTGGCCTATAACTTAATTATACTCTTTTGTTCGCTTATTCCTTGAGTCGCTTTTGTCAAACCTAGTTCTAGAGACATCTTAGAGAGAGTCTTCAACAGTGTGTATCTCTGGCCAGTTGTCTTCTTCCGTCCCTCTACGGGTTTTAAGGTGAGGTTTGAGAAGGTAGCTAAGTTTGGGTGGACTTGCTATACCTTGGTGGTTATTTCCCTTGTACCCTGTGCGTTTATTGCGGTGATTGTGAGTTTTGCATACTTTTGTGATGCTAGTGATTCTTGTGACCGAGGATCTGAGCTGGAAGATCTATAGGTATAGGTTAAAAAGTGGACGGAGCATTTATGTTCGAACAACACTATCAATTCATCAATAGACAAACAGGTAAAACATCATTATTTAATAGTCATCATTTATTCTTCTGATATATACTATCCTCCGTCTCTTTTTAATCGCAACATGTTGAATTTTACACTATTCACATGTTCTACTTTGACTACATTTTATACTATTATTTTATGAAAATTATTTTTTTGAAATTATATTTTTCAATTCATCTCATTACAAATTTTCAAAATCTAATTTTTAAATATTTTTTACTAATAGGGATTAAGATATAATTACGGTCAAAGATGTGCGTTGGCAAGTGTGAAATGTTGACCGTTGCAACTAAAAAAGAACGGAGGAAGTACGTTCTTTATTATCTGTCTCGCATTCCATTTTGAGACGTTTTTTATTATTTGTCTCTCTTTCTATTTTAGGAAAGTTTTTGATAAAATACCCCCGTTTTTTTTACTTTTACTCCTCTTACTTTTTACAAACTACTTTCTCTTTCTTACTTTATCATAACTTTACTCTACTTAATATACTCTTTTTCCTACTTTATCATCACTTTATTACCACTTTACTCTTTTTAATATACTCTCTTTCCTACTTTATCATTTACCCTACACACTCTACATTTACCCTACTATTTTTCTATTAAAACCCGTGTCCAAGGCTAGCGAGACAGATAATAAAGAACGGAGGGAGTATATAAATAAGGTGAGAACTTCGGTACCCATTTAAAAAATGTGGTACCGTACCTATCATTCACTTGATTGGTCCACATAGGTATATCAATTTTAATTTAGACTTAAATAATTCAACTGCAACATTCTGATTGGTCCATGTGGACAAAGATACGGTACCTTTTGGGTACCATAGAATCTACCTATAAATAAACATCATATCACAAGATAATTAATTCGTAGTACAATGATTTGGGCAAACTTATTCAATTTTAATACAATTGTGCGCAATCCGCACGCTCTCCAATAATACTGGCCTAACTAATTAAGAAGTAATAATAAGAATAAAAATAATG